ACATGTGGGGATCAGTTGTGACGTGTCTTAAGCAATTTATTGCCAGTAGCTGAAGTTAGTGAATGATTACTCAAATGTGACAGAGTGTTCTTTATAATATATTTTCTCCTTTTGCTGTACATTTGAAAATTCACATCAACAAAAAGATTTTTTGTTTCTTTTTAACTTATACCATTTTGATTGAAGTATAATTTATATACAGGAAAATGAAAGATCTTTAATACAGTTTGGTGAGTTTCAACAGTTGCATCTATCTGTGTAAACCACACACATCACAACACAGAATACTGCCATAACCCCCCAAATATCCCTCGATGTCCATCCCAGTCAATCCTCACCTGCTCCTACTCCACAGACAACCACTGTTGTCTTTCACTCAGTATAATGGCATTGATGGTCTTCCACATGTTGTGTGTATCAGAAGTTAGTTTTTTTAATTGCTGAGTAGTATTCCATTATATGGACATAGCTATTTTGTTTATTCATTCTACTGGTGGACATTTGAGTTGTTTCTAGTGTGTTGTTATTCTAGTTGTTGAGGCCATGGTTAGGAAAAGAGTAAGGGCAAGGTAAAATTTTGGAAAATCTGATTTCCTTCCTGGAGTATTCTGCTTTATGAGTAAAGCTGCTCTGAACATTCATGCGCAAGTCTTCCCTGTGTCCAGTGTTTTCATTCTTCTGGGTAAATACCTAGGAGTGTATTTGCTTAGTCATAGGATAGAGGCACGTTTAACTTTACAAGAAATTGCTAGACCAATTTTCAAAGTGCTTGTACAATTTTACATTCCCATGAGTAATATATGAAAGTTCTGTTGCCCTATATCCTTGCCAAAATTCAGTGCCATCTGTAGTGGTATCTCATTGTGGCTTCATTTGTGTTTCCTTGGTGATGAAAGATGTTGATTACTCTTTTCATGTGCTTATTCCCATACCTTACCTTGTGGAGTGATTGTTCCAGTCTTTTGCCCACTTTGTTTTTTGATTTAAATATCATATAATCTCAACACCCAGAGATAACCGTCTTTAACAGTTTGGAATTTTGCATATGCATTTACTTTTTTACACAGATATAGTCTTTACAACATGGGCTCATATTATATAAACTGTCTGTAACCTGTATTTTTCATTTAGCAATTAGTCATGAACATCTTTCCTTATCAATAAATACACTTTGATGTCATCATTTTTTTGGTACATGAATGTTCATGGCAGCTTTATTCACAAAAGTCCAGATAGGAAACAGCCCAAATCACCTGGTAAGTGGATAAACAAAATGCAGTGTATATCTGTACAGTGGAATACTATGCAGCAACAAAAAGGAATGAACTACAGATAAATGCAATATACATTCTGAACCGAAGAAGCCAGACACAAAGTAAAAGTAAATACCAACTAGAGTGAAAATGCAAATATAGTGACCAAAAAAAATTGGGGCTGAGGAATAGAGTACCAAGAGACAAGATGAAACTTTTGATAGTGTGATAATATTCAATATATTGATTGTAAGTAGCTGTAGTTTCACTGGTACATGCAAGAGTCAGAACTCATCGAATTGTACATTTTAAATGGATACCTATTGCAGGCAAATTATAGCCCAATAAAATTGATTTCATCAAGAAAACACTGTGATAGAGTATATGCAGTAGAGGATACAAAGCTGGGCACTAGCAGAAGTGGGGTAGGCAGGCCAACATAATTAAAGAGAGGAGTTCAGTAAGAAGCCTGGAGGCATAGGAAATTTAGATAATAGAGTACATAACAGAGTTTAGGTAGCTGAAAAAAATAATTTAAAGTCAAATTAGGGCTCTTAATTAAACCCCATTCAAGTGGTTTACTCTAAAAAGGCAATTCATTGCCTCATAGCATACAAAAAAAGTTGAAGAACTGGACTCAAAGACTCAAGTAAAGCCAGGACTAAATCTTTAGCTCTGTAACCTCTGATATCACCCTGGGTCGGGCTGGGAGGAGGCTTGGGGTGCCTCATTATAACCTCACAAGGGTAGAGGTCAAGGCTTCCTACTTGGCCTTTGCTGGTGAGGATGGGATCGTGCTTGCAGTTTTTTCTGGAGTGTTTGGCTGAACTAGAGTAATTATTGTATAACAGTTTTCTGTCTTCCTAGGCTGTCCCGTCTGGTCCTTTGGCTAGAGCCAGCAGGCTTTTCCAGGGGAGTGTGTATATGCCCACCCATTGGCATTTCCAGGATGCTGGCCTCTCCAGCATCTAGTCTGGGACATAGGAAGCAAAAAGAAAACTCAGGAACTCTCTACCTTGTTCCTCAGTTCCTGAAGTCCATCCTTAGTCTGTCCTCTCCCCACTTTTCAGAGGCTTTTTCTTTTTTCTTTGTATAGAATATCAGAGTTTTTAGTTGCACCTAGCAGAGGGAGTAAGGAAAAGTATGTCTGTTCCATATTTTGGGAAGTAGAAGTCTTCTTGACTACTTTTTAAAAATTGGTTGTTCATCTTTTTATTATTGAGTCATAGGACTTGTTCATATATTTCTGGATGCAAGTCTTTTGTCAGCTATGTGTGCTGTATTTTTCTATGTGTAGCTTGCTTATTCAATGTCTTAACAGTATCTTTGGACAAACAGAGGTTTTAAATTTTGATAAGTCCATTTTATTATTTTTTTAATGATTAGTGCCTTGTGGATCCTGACAAATATTTACCTATCTCTAAGTTGTAAAAATAACCCCCTCTGTTTTTTTCTAGAAGCTTTATGATTTCAGTTTTTATGATTAAGAGCTATGATTCATCTCAGAAATTAATTTTTGTGTTTGGTTCACAGCTGATTTTTCTTTGCATAAACAGCCAATCATTTCAGCACCATTTGATGACTATTTCTTTTCCCCATTTAGTTTCCTTGGTATGTTGGTAAAAAAAAAGTCAATATATATAGGTTGCTCTTGTTCTGTATTCTAATTCAGTGATCTCTTCGTCAGTCTTTATGCCAACACCATATTGTCTTGATTACCATAACATTATAGCAATCTTTAAATTACATAGTGTATTTCCTCCAACTTTTTTCATTTTCTTTTTTCAGAATTGCTTTATCTCTTTTAGGCCCTTCAAATCTCTATAAAATTTTATAGTCTATTTGTCAATTTCTACAAAAAAGTCTTCTGGCAATCTGACTGGGATTGTGTTAAATCCCCTTAGATCAATTTTTGGAGTATTGACATCTTAAGAAGACACAGGATGTCTTTCCATTTGTCTCCTTTGATTCTTTAAGCAATGTTTTACACTTTTCAGAGTATATATCTTACATATATCTTATTAAGTCCATACCTGAATTTTTGGAGTTTTAATGTTATTCTAAATGGGATTATGTTAAACTTACTTTTTCAAATGCTCATTTGCTAATATATAGAAATACAGTTGAGTTTTGTATATTGACCTTGTATCCTGTGTACTTCCTAAATTCACTTAATGGCTCTTGTAGCTTTTGTTAAGTTGTTCCAGATTCTCTATAAACATGATTGTGTCATCTGCAAATGAGGACAGCTTTACTTCTTTTATAGTTTTACTCTTTTTATTTCTCATTCTATTACCCTGTTGAAGACCTCTGGTAAAATCATCTAAGGCCTGTATTAGGCAAGTTAAGAGCAGACATACTTGCCATGACCTTGATCGTAGGGGGAAAATGTTTTAATCTTTCACCATTAAGTATATTGCCAGCTATAGATTTTATAAATAGATATCCTTTATCAGGTTGGAGAAATTTCCTTTTATTCTGTGTTGGCTTAGTTTAATCATGAATAAGTGTTGAATTTTGTGAGATGCTTTTCCTGCATCAGTGGAGACGAACATATGATTTTTCTTCTTTGTTCTGTTTAATTGCATCAATTTGTATTCAAATAAACTAACATTGTATTTCTGGAATAAGTACCATTTGATCACAATGATTATTCTTTTTCTATGTTGTTGGGCCCAGTTTGATGAATTTTGTTCAGGACTTTTCTGTCTACCTTCAAGACAATATTGGTCAGTAGTTATCCTTTTTTGTAATGTCTCTTTCTGGTTTTGATATCAGAGTAATTCTGGTCTCATAAAACAAGTTTGTAAGCGCTCCCTTGCTCTGTTTTCTAAAAACAGCTGTATAAGATTAGTATTATTTCTTTCCTTTTGAGAAAATTCATCAGTAACGTTTTTTTGTATGTATGTAATTTGGTTTCTTTCCCTTCTTTCAAGAATTATATAGTCCTCCCCGCATGTTGTCCAGTGTCTGAAAACAGCTTTTTTAAAAAAAATTAATTTTACCTAGTTTTGTAGTTGTTTATAGTGGGAAGCCTGTTGGGTACCAGTTTATTTTACCATAACTAGGACAGAAGTATCTAGTAAGAAGTTTGCTTAAATTGAGGTTATTATTAGATTATTAGAGTGATTCTAAATTCAATAGATTCAGCATTATCCCATATTGAACCGACCTCAATAGATTATACTAATCTATTTCTACTGAATTGACTCTCCAAATTAATTATTAATATACTTAGTATAATTCAGTATTAGCAAAGCCTGGTACAATGAACAAGAGACTTATATCCACCACTCGATTCAATAATTGCTAACATTACTTTCACTACTTCAGTTCTGATATGCTTTCTCATGTGGAATAAAAAGTTATAAAATTATAGGTGGGAATATATATATTTTTTGTATAACCATATGTTCCTGAAGTGTATTTTGCATTTCATCTATTATGCTTACTAACAGCAGATTAAAAGTTTGAAAACCATTGTTTACTTAGATGTTTCAGGATGGTTATTGCTCAAAGGTGCAAACCTCTTCTAATAACAAAAATGTGCACATGATGTGAATATCTTAGCAGAAACGAGGTGTTTCCTAGCGGAGTGTACAAGATCTTTGCTCTTGCATCTGTATCTTCTGCGTGGCTTTGTCCTGCTGCTTCTGCGTGACACACAGGATCCAGGTGAAGAGGGGAATTATTAGGCTCTATCTCTCTGCGTAAGGAACCATGCTGCAAATCCAATACTTTGCTTATAAGGCCTGCTCTGGGCCTACATCTACTTTATTAGACAAACAATCAAATTTCTCCAACTTCCTCTTTGGAATTAAGTAGGAATATAACAAATGACAAAGTAGAATTAAAAACCACTGAGCAGTTGCGGTTCTTGTCTTCACTTAGGTGGGTGAAATAGTTTAACTGAGGCTCACTTCAAGCACCCCACCCCACAACTTTGGACCACCCAGGATCTGAAGGCTGCATCCCACTTCCGGGATTGTCCAAAGGGAGAAGTCCTCAAAACTTGGAGTTACCATGGCTATCCCCATGTGGACTTTGAATAAGGAGTAGACTGGAAGCAAAACAAGACAACAAAAACCTGACAGTGCAGATTGTTACACTGACACCATAATCAAAAGTAATGTTACATCCTTTGAAGGCTCTTCAGTGATATTACCATGCAGAGAATACGTGAGGAGATGATAACTGATTAGCTCTGGGGAAAACTGTTTTTTTAAAAAACACATTATAATATAATGAAATAATTTTTTGTTGTTGATAGCACTCGTGAATTCTGGCATGGGTGAATTTAGCTATAATTACTCTAGGCCTTTTCCTACATACGCCCTATCAAAATTAACCATCAGAGCAATGGAAGGTCAAAACCTTCTTAATCTCTGCCAATAAATTCACAATAAAAAAGATTGATGGTTTATTTAATGCAACAAATTCTAATCCTGTGGTGCTTCAAAATCACCAGGGAGCCTTCAAAGATTCAAATGCCCAGACCTTTCCTCAGATATTTGAGTTTGATTGATATGAATAGAGACTAGTCATCAATATTTTTTCATAGATCTTAAAAGTGAGATAATTCACACACCATAAAATTCACTTCTCGAAGTATATAATTCAGTGGTTTTTCACAAAAAACACATCTCATAAAGTACTGTTATTCAAATATACAAAGAACTCTTAAAATGCTTTAATAATATGGAAACAACCTGATTAAATAATGGGCCAAAGATCTTAACAGACACCCCACCAAAGAAGATAAACAGATGGCAAATAAGCATATGAAGAGATACTCCATATAATAATATGTCATTAGGGAAATGCAAATTAAAACAACAGTGAAATATCACTCCACATCTATGGGAATGGCCAGAATCTGGAACACTGACACCACCATACCCTGGTAAAGATACAGAACAGGAACTGTGTCATTCATTGCAAGGGGGAATGCAAAAGGTACAGCCACTTTAGAAGAGAGTTTGCAGTTTCTTAAAAAACTAAATATATTCTTACCATATGGTCCAGCACTCAAGCTCCTTGGTACTGGCCCAAAGGAGTTGAAAATTTAGGTCCAATAAAAACCTGCACATGAATGGTTTTAAAAGCAGCTCACTTCATAACTGTCAAAACTTGGAAGCAACCAAAACATAGATGAATGGATTAATACATTGCGGTACATACAGACATTTCTTTTTAATGTTGGATGGAATATTAATCAGCATTAAAAAGAAATGAGGTATCAAGCTATGAGAAGACATGGGAAGCTTAAATGCATATTGCTAAGTAAAAGAAGCTGATCTGAAAAAGCTAAATACTATGATTCCCATTATATGACATTCTGGAAAAAGCAAAACTCTGGACATGGTAAAAAGATCAGTGATTGCCAGGGGTTGGAAGGTAGAAGGACAAATGAATAGGCAAAGCACAGAAGGATTTTTAGGGCAGTGAAAATACACTGTATGATGCTATAATGATGGATACCTGTTACATATTTGTCCAAACCCATAGAATTTACAACATCAAGAGCGAACCCTAAACTATGGACTTTGGGTGGTTATGGTGTGCTAATCAATGTAGGTTCATCAATAATAACGAATGTATCTCTGGTGGGAGATGTTGAGAATGGGGGAGGCTGTGCATACATGGAGCAAAGGGTATATGGAAAATCTCTGTACCTTCCTCAACTTGGCTGTGAACCCAAACTTGTTCTAAAAAAAAATAAAGTCTTTAAAATAAAATAAAAAAAATTTAAGCTTACTGAGAGAGTGATAATCTTAAATCTGGTCTGATTTTTTAAAATCCCAAACTGATATAATATTTCACTATTATCAGTAAAACATTAATTATAATATGCTTTGCAGTTAATTGAGACTGAGTCCTCTGGTCTAAACTGACTGTCTCTAATTTTTTTTTTGCATGTACCTCCACCACTTAAAAATGTGATCATGAATACACATACACACACACGTGAATATTTATTTTAAAATACATAGAGAACAGAAATTTTAAAAAGAGATGAAAATATAAATTAAAATTCTAATATCTTCCTGCTCCATCCATATGGACTCTGTTACACAGATCTTGGCATACTTATTTTTCCCTCCAACTTCCAGAAAAAATAAAGCAAGAAGTTATTTAAGGGTCCACCGGGAATGCAGCTTCTGGTCTCAAATCTTTCTCTTTGGTAAAGAACTTTAAAACTACTAAAGAGCAGGCCAGTATTTGCTTATGCACATAGTGTACGTTCTGTGGGTGTCAGGAGGACTTCAGGTTCCCTCCAGAAGCTTCCAGATTGGGGGATTTTGACTGCTCCTGGGAACTCTGGAAAGAAGATGAAAATGAGTCAGTATAGAGGCTCGAGCTTCTTTTATTTCTCCCTTTTTTCCCACTGAAGGAATAGCACAGATTTTATGCAGCTTCCATGGTCTTTTCCTTTTGATAAAACACTGCAAGGATGAACCTCTATCAATTATCTATAAAACAAGGTGTGTGTCATAAGATTCTTCACAGAAGTATCCATTTGACTTTCGATCTATTCTGTGCATTGTTGTTTCCATCACTTAAGTCTCCAGTGTAAATTGTATGGAAATCGCAGTCGACCTTGGAGAGGCGTTTACTTCATCCTTGAAATAACTGAAACAACAATGAATCCTTTGCTTTTCCTTCCTTGCTTTTTGAAATCAGGTTTTCTTCTGATTATAAAAGAAATACATGAGATTATAAAATTTTTTGGAAACTACAGAAAGCAAGACTACAAAATTAAAATTTCTTATATTCCTATTAACTAGAGAGAATACCAAGCTGTTTTTCCATAAAAGTAATGCTTTTCAAAATTAGGATCATATTGAGTTTCTCATTTTATCTCATCCTTATTGATTAGTACCTAACCACTATGACTATATTTTCATTTCATAAAATTTTAAAAACTTAATTTTTAAGGACTGCAAACCATTTCACCAAGTGGACATACTATAATCTAACCATTCCTTTATGAGGGGTATTTAGCCTATTTCTAACTTTTTTGTGTGTGCTTTAATTTTTCCCCAGCCTTCTTGAGCAATCACTGACAAATGTAATTATATATATTTAAAGTGTACAATGTGATGATTTGATATGCATGCACATTTTAGAAAAATTGCCAAAAGCAAGATAATTAATACATCCATCACCTCACATAGTTTGCTTTTTTTTTGTACTGAGAATGCTTACGATCTACTTTCAGCAACCTTCAGGTGTATGATACTATATTGTGAAGTACAGTCACCATGCCGTATATTAGATCCTCAAAATTTATTCTTTAACTGAAAGTTTGTATCCTTTGACCTACATCTCCCCAATTTCTAATTTTTAGATATCATTTTTGTAGTGATGAGCATCTTCATATGTATGTGTTTTATTTCATCTCATAGGATTTGCTTAGGATAGATTCCAAGAAGATCATATCTTCCTTAGTAAAGAATTTAAGCATTACTACTATTGATGCTATTATAAAATTGCTTTGTAGAGCACATCCACTAATTAAGCTCCTATTAATGATGTATGGAAGTGCATATCACATAACCTAATTACAAGGACTGGGTATTATCTCTAAAACATTCCTGAGAAGAGTTCACTGGTAAGAGATATGAAAGAGTCTCAGTCATTTGGGAAGTGTTCTGTACCTTGATTTGTGTAGTCTCACTGTGTGTGCATGCATGTGCCCAGGCTCATGGCTGTGTGCATGCACATGTGTCAAAATTCATTGATTATTTCATTGAACTTTTTCCAATACATTTATTCTGGAAAAGATATAGAGTTGCTCAAGTTTAGTTTCACTTTATTTTTCAATACCTAAATGTTGTCAAGTTGCATATATTTTCGGAAATGTGTTTTTTTCTCTCAACTTGACGACAGGGAGGACTAGCCCTATGAGTACTCATTAGCCCCCAGCTGTACTTCCTTCTTTCTTGTTTTATGGTGGACTCCGATAGGACCGCACTAGTGTATGAGCAGTCTCCCATTAACGGATATTTAGGTTGTTTTCTAATCACAAGCAATGTTGCAATAAGCGTCTGTCTGCTTGCTTCCTAGGAAGTGGTAGAATATCAGCTGAAATGTTCTGACTTCTCATTGAGTTCCTAACCTGCTTTCAAGGTTTTGGATCATTTTCATATTTTTTCCGTTATTAAACAGTCAAACCATATGGGGACCCACAGTTACCCTGTCAGACTGGAATTGGTTAACAAGCAGATTTTGCCTGTTTTCCATATTGGGGAGGATGATTCCTGGAAACCTCATGTGAGTGAGCTGCTGCTGTTTGTTTTTGACCCTGTGCTGTTTGGCTGGGAACAGTCCTGAAGTTGTTCGGCTCCTGCACATCTGAATGCATGACTGTTTCTGAGTCGGGTTGGTTGGTGGTTTTTAAAACCTGGACACAGGCCTCTGTCTTTGGAGGATTCTGTTCTGTGTGCTTGTATACTTCCATACAAGGGCGCCTTATATAAGGAACCATTCATTACACCTCTCAAACGGGCCATAAGCAAGAAGCAGTTTCACTCCAGCCCACTAGCTCTTACTATAAGGCATGGGTCTGAGCTGAAGTCAGTGACAGAAACATTAGTCCTACTCACAGTGCATGGCTTAAATTCTGCTCTGCCATCCAAACTGCCCCAAAACATCCCTCTCTCTCTTCCTGTGGGTATCCTTCCTTTGCTCCTCATTTTGTAGTCCAGTGCTATGTGTATTTGTTATACATCTACCACTCTGGGCAAAGCATAGTCACCTGTACACCCGGACTTATGAGAAAGGATATTGGAAAGAAAATATCCTAATATATCTTTGATTAATGCAGAGTAAATTTCAGCAAAATAAAACTTTAAAATTACCTGCACATTGGAGTTAGATAGTTCTGGGTTCTAATTTTGGCTTTATTTGTTCATAATAAGCAAATATTTACCATCAACCTTAAGACCTTGAGGCAGATCCTCAAACTGTTTGAATCTCAGTTTTCTCATCTCTGAAATGGGTATAATAATATGTATCTCATACAAAACAATATGAGTGTTTGACTGTGTAGTAAGCACTCAAGCAGTGGTAGTGATTATCTTTATGAAAATAATTTGACATGAAATACCACCAGGTGATAAATTTTTCTCTACATTGGTTTAGGCAAATCTCTCACATCATTCTTCTAAGGACCTTCAAGAGGCTGAATTCTCAAAGAATGATTCAATTGGATTCCTTACACTTTCACAACTAATGCAGGGATGTTAATCAAACATCTCAACAAGATCATTAATAATACTCCTAAAAAGAAAGGCCTTACTTAATGCTCCCAAACACTCCATTCCTGATTTGTGGGACTAGGTACAGTCCCTAGATGACAGCCAAAGCGGGTCATGCTACTCTGTCGCTTCAAGCCTGTCAAATCTGAACCCGTTAGCCTGATTTATGAGATCTCAAGTGATCTGGACTTGCTTCCCTCTTTAGCCCCCCTTGCAATTTCCCTATGTCGACATGCACGCACGTATGTGCATGCGTGCACACACATTTGTATTTCACATTCTATTCTGATTTGAGTTCTCTCAACATGTTCTCATCACCTGGCCACTGAACACCCTGTTTTTTTCTGTCTGGTACATACTTTCTTCAACTTACTGCTTAACTTTTACTGGTTCTTTGTGTCTCGTTTTAGATGTCTGTCATTTTCTCTGAGGAACATTCCTTGGCTTCTCCGAGGAACATTCCTTGGCTTCTCCAAGGCTGGAGCAGGTGCGGTTCTGTGGGCTCCCACCACATCCAGTGCTTCACTATGTCCAGCGCACTCCTGTCATTGCCATGGTCAGTTCATTGCCTCTAGTCTTGACTAAACAATAAGCTCTTCGAGTGCAGAAACTGTGCACCATCTCTTATAATAGCACTGCCTCACAGAAGATATCCAATCCATTCTGGAATATATGCACAAGTAGATTGCAGTGGGAAAAGGATGTATACTTTTTTTGGAATTTGGATGACTCACTTTTATTTTTATTTTTATTTATTCTTTAATTAAAGTGTTAATATACAATCTTATGTTAGTTCCAAATGTACATCACAGGGGTTCAACAGTCCCTGTGATCAACTTATATTGTGATTATGGATTATTGTGCCCCTTTAGCCCCAGCCTGCTCCCACTCTGCACCCATCCCAACCCCTCCCCCTTCGTATCCACCAGTCACTTCTCAGAGCCTATGAGTCTACTGCTGTTCTGTAAGGATGTATACTTTTTGTAATCTAACCAATTTGTCCAAGCAGAATATTTGCCACAGAAAGTTATGGGAAGTAAGGTCAAGAAATAGGTTCATCCCAGATTTTAGAAGCTCTTGAATTTAAAAACCAAATTAAGAGTTAAATTAAAGGGAGTGATTTTTCCCTTGTGAGCAGTGCAGCACTATTGAAAGTTTTAACTCCGTGAAATGACATGATTAAAATGTTTATTTAGAAATATTAATTTGGTAGTAGATTGAGTGCTTGATAGAGAAAATGAATAAGAGATTGCAGATGAGAGATTAGACTTGGAGCTTCCAGTTTCTCACGTGTGAGGAAAAAACCTGAGAAATAGTTGAGAATTGTAATCCTTAAGAAGTTTTGTAAACTTCCTAATGGTGAGAACCAAATCTTATTTCCATTTCTACCCATTTCTCCATCTTATTCTTATTTCTATCCATCTCTTTGTCTCATTCTATTTCTACCCAGTGCAACCAGTACAACAGCTTACATTTCACTGATCCTCGGTACTAGACTAAGTGGATGAATGATGTATATAAAAAAGGACAGATGCATAGGCTTTGGGAAGAAGGACTTGGTAAGACTTGACTGGTTGCCTCTGGAAAGGTGTCAAGTAGCAACTGGTCCTATTCCTAGAAATCAGGGAGACAGGAAGAGGACACAGTTTATGGAAAAGGTGAATCCAGGAATCCACACTTTTTGGTGTATCTTTTCCTAAAAGGGATGAACAAAAAGCATTTCATTCTCATAATATCCTTAAGCCTGAGAAGCAATTCATAATATGCCCACTCTCCTTCTCACCTTTAATGGCAGGAAGAAAGTTGCCAGACTCCTGAATGAGTCACCCACAGTCATAAAGCCAGGGGGGACTGTCCAAAGGACAGAAGACTGACCCCCTCCTTCCATGGTCATCCAGGGCTATGAGCATGCAGTCTCTACTTGCACTAAAAAACAGATCCTGACTTAATAAGAGCTTCGTGACACTCTGGTCATATTACCTGCTCTTCAAATTTCCATTTCGGTTGAAGGAGTTGAAACTCTGATTACCTGTCGTCTGAGTAAGTGGCCATAGCAGACAGGAAATAGATACCGTGCTGCTCTTAGTAGAATCCTCCGGTTGGTTGTTTTCAGGGACTGCTCTCTTGGGTAAAGAAGGGAAACAGGGTAAAAATAGTTAAATTACAACTAAAGGAAAGAGCGCAAGTGAAGCCTAGTGAATGTTGTCCAATTTAGGGTTACGTAAATGGTAAGCACAGTCCAGGCAGGTTTGACCAGGGACTTTTTTTTTCTTTTTTTAAAGGCATAAATATGTTGACTTTCACATGTACCTGGCATGGGGTCTGTGGACATTGCCTGCCAGCTGTGAGACATATGCAGCCCACCCGGACTGCCTCCGAAACTCCTTCCCCACATGTCCTGGCTAGGTCACCCTCGTGTCAGTGAGACTGGCTGCATGTACATGGGCTGGGCCATGGTTATTCATTCACATGTATTTATAGAGTGCCTACTTGCATGACCCTGTGCTAAATTGGAGATGGGAAGGAACCATAAATACCAACATGGGTAAGGCATTCCCTGAGCCTTAAAGGAGCTTACAGTCTACTCAGGCAGTCAGAGTGCATTACCTGAGAAGACAAACAGTGTAGAATTTTAGTTAAGCATTATAAGAAGTGTAGATGTTCCAAGATGCTAGCATTCTAGTGCTTTGCAGTGTGTGGAAAAACCCAGAGGCGGTCTGAATTTGTAGGAAAAAGACAGCTTACTTTTTGTTGGAAAAACGATCTTATGCAGGAGGAAAAAGTTGAGTTGGACTCTTTTGCTCTTATTACTCAGACTTGGCCTGACACTAAGCTAAAAGATGCTGAATGAGTCACTGGCAGATAAAACAATTAAACAACAGATGGCTTGGCTTGCACAACCCAACATCCGGTCTTGAAGTCTTTTCCTCTGAATGGCCTGTTCTGATTTTACATAGCCTCAGCCTATTGTTGCATCTTTTATTGTCTTAAGAATTTAAATTTACTGAATCTACTGTTTTAGGACTGGTCTGAGCTTTTAGCTGTCATGAATAATTAGTCAAATCCATGAATAATTAACCAGCAAATGGAAGCTACCCCACCCCAGAATTCTGGATTGTCAAGGCACACCAGGAAGGATCCCAGAGGCCTACAGAACATGCCAGATCTGATGGGTGGCCACAGTCTAAGACTCTGAGACCAAAAGGGAGGTCAAAGGTGGCTGGTCCCTCTTCTGGTGCAGAGCCTTGGTAGGGAGAAAATGCTCTGAGGTGGGATACAAAGAGTGTTCTCTGTTCAGTCTCTCCTTCTCTAAGTGGGGAAAGACAATTTTGGATATAGAACTGTATGAAATTGCTCATCTTCTAAATCCAATACAAGCTTTCACATGGTTGTTACAGAACCTGGGAGATCAATCAAGGCCTTTCTACTTAAAGCCTAGGGCAGTTGTTTTAGATAGTGAGAAAGGTCACCCCAGCCAGACAGTGTGGTCAGAGACGGGCAGAGTGAAAGGAGTGGTGTCAGATGCAAGGACGGACCCTCAGACAGGTACCACCAGGCCTCTTGTTCGCCTGCAAATTCCTTTTCACTCAAGCTTCGTCTGCTCTGGAAGCCTTTCCTTCCTGTGTCCTCTCTGAGCCACAGCAGTTCCCTGCGCAAACGTCCATAATGGCGCATCACATGGTAAGGTAATGAGTCATTCACCCATGGGAGTCCCTCCTCAGACGGTGACTTCACAGAGGAAAGAGACTGTCTTAGTCACTTCTCTATTCTCAATGCCTACTACATGCCTGATACACTCCAAGGACTCAATGAACGTTTATTGAAAGACTGAGTCCTTGGGAATAACAGTTGGCAAAGGGGTGGCCTAGGGACATGTTTCTCAAATTGGGATTAACAGAGTCCTAGCGCTCCAGAGCGGTGCCTTGAGCACCCCCTTGGGAATGTGGGGGAGGGTGCTCCCAAGTGCCCCTTCTTCTGTAACTGTCTTTGATCCAAGTAGTTCTGCTTTAATCTGTTTCATGTTGTAGGATCTACATCTGGTTTTGTTTGAAAACTGCTAGAAAAATCCTGTAGGTGGAAGGAGGAAGAGCCTTTGGGACTATACAGTATAGTACCAGCAGGGTATCGTAACAGGATAAAGAGGGGTCAGGTCACTCAGGGGTGTCTGAGCATGATCACAGGCTCAAGACTGATCCTCGGACAGTAGAGAGAAGACCTGCAGGAGAAGGAAAAAGGGGGCCAAAGGCGTCTTCCAAGTTACTTCTCAAGGGCTTCTCCTTTGTCGTTGGCCATGGACCAAACTTCTTATAGCGAACAAGATTCCACTTCCTTTCCTTGCTCCTCCCACTCTCTCACCCTGTACTCCAGCTACTCTTCCCTCAAATACAACATTCTTGCCACAGGCCAATCCCTCTGCCTGGAAAACTTCCTTTCTTCTCCTCTTTTCTGGGCCAGTCCTTCTTCAAGTCTCCATTGAAATGTCCTTGCTTGACATCCTTCTCCCCTCAATGTAGACCAGAATGGGTCTTTTGTTCCCTGTATTTCTGTTTTAATGTGGTTATCACAACTGCAATAATATATTTAATGTCTGCTGCCTTTCCCCCAGATAGATCTGAGGAGAGAAGCATGTTCATCACTGTATTTCCTGCACCTGGAAGGGTGTCAGGCAGCTAGGAGGTGCTCAACAAATTCTTAACAAATGTGATTGGCCACCTTTAAGATGACCTCAATTATCCCCACCTACTAATATTCACAGCCTTGTGTAATCTCCTTAACCTTGAGTAACTTGCTTCTAAAACATAGAAAATGTAATATTGAACGTATGTCATTTCCATGATTAGGTTACAAAAGATGATAACATCCATCTTGGTAGTTACCTTCTCAGCTTATGTGCTTTGAAGAAGCAAGCCGCCTCGTTGGAAAAGCTCATGTAGCAAGGAGCTGAGGGTGACCTCAGGAGGCGCTCAGGTACACAGTCCAGCAACCTGCAAGGAACTGAATCCTGCCAACAACCACATAAGCTTGGGAGTGGAAGCTTCCCCAGTCAGCCTTCCAATGAGATCCCACCCTTGGCCAACACTGGGTACAGCCTTGCGAGAGCCTCTGAAGCAGAGAGCCCAGCTAAGTCATGCCTAGACTCCTGGCCTATAGAAACCAAGAGATAATAAATGTGTTAGTTTTAAGCCACTGTCTTGGGGGTAATTTGTTACACAGCAGTAGATAATTAAAAGACAAATTAATGAATGCATCAGTAGATGAGTGAATGAAACCAAAGACCTCACCAAAGGCAGGGGAGATTAAGACATAGGAGAAGTAGACTGAGAAGGTGCTAAGACAGATGATTGATAATGCTTGCTGGTTGATTATGCCTCTCCCAGATATAGAACCTGAAGATAGGGTTTTGAGGAAACTCTTTCAGAGTTTTCAGGATCAGAAATTCACCATATCTCTGGACGCTTTATATGCCTATGTACTATCTGACACCACTCATAATAATTTGTATTTGTAGATGAATACCAAAAAATACATCATTGCTGTTGCCAATTTGGAATTGATTTATGTCAAAATATACAGTCTGGGTTGGGAGGTCTTTATTTTAAATGGCTATATTTTAAATCATGTGACCCTGTCTGAGGTCTTTATTTTAAATGGCTGTATTTTAAACCAAGTGACCCTGTAGGAGCATTTCTATCTCATGTATGTTTGTCTGCTATTAAAGTCTCATGTGGCTTTGTAAATGGAAACAGCTTTAATAAATCAGAATGGGTTAGTGGGCTTTAATTATGTCTACAGTCCAGGTGTAAATGATATAAAATCCTTACAGCTATAAATACTAGCTTTATCAATAGCTCTTATAATTTATAATTTCCCAATGCATTTCAAATGCTGACTCTCACCTTTTCCCAGGATTGATTTCCTGTGTCAGAGTGAATAAAGGGTGCAAAAAAAAAAAAATAGTGATATACTGCAGAGAGCATTTCGTGTTCCAACATCCAATTTTTATGGAGGTCTACAAAGATGTTCCTTTTCTATCTTCTTAAATCTCTTATTTTTCCTGCCTAGTTACACATGGGGAATATAATTGCCTAGGGAGTTTCCCTTGGGTTAAGTTTGTTTTTCATTAGGAACTACGAAACTTTATCACCGTGGCATTGTAACTTGCCCTAACACTTCAAGTTTATTTGCTCTCAAATAAAGGGCATTTGTTCTTCCTGTTATTGATAATCATTTTCTTAATCCCCTAGCAGCCAAATCCCATTCCAATTGCTCATCATGAAAAGCTCATGCTTGCCTTATGGAAGTGCATAAATGGACCTGATAGTATGATGTACCTTTGTATTTATCCACAAAGAAATGTCCCATTTGAGAAAATCTGAATGGTGTAATCCTGAACTTAAAGATGAGTTACAAAGTGCCTGCTCGAGTTCTACACTTTGAAAAAATCAGTATTTCCAGAGGGATGAGTCTATTCCTTAAAATGTATAGCTTCTGAAGCTGTAAGACCAAGATTCTTAAAGCTCCACTATAAGAGGTAATAGATTAGAAATTAAGGTAAAATAGCTGTGAAATTGTAATGGGAGTGTATGGGGGCTGGAGATTTATACACATTATGCTCAGGTGGGCTGAGAATACAGCTTTAGCCTTTCTCACAAACCCTTGCCCACGGAGTCACCTTAGTTGGCTACAATATTTCGAACAACACTTGAGGAAAAATGTTTAGCCTTTCTGTTTTCATGCCTGTCCCTCTGCTTCCACAAGATGGGACTGGGTGGAGGGATGTGTTCACTGAATCACCATGGGACGAGAGTAGAGGGGCTCTAGAACCCAAGAAGGGTCCCTGGAGGCTCCGGTCCTCGCTGTTGCCCACCGCCCTCCCTCCTGACCTTTGTGTGCTACTAAGTTGACTGTACGTATGCTTCAACATGTGGCGTCTTAGCCAGGTTTGGGGCACCTCCTGGCTGCCTGGGTTCTCCTCTGTCTAGCCCCTGGTCTAGATGAGTCCATGCTCTCTATTGTAGGGTCCTCTCCCTTGTCACCATGGGCCACTCTCAACTCAGCTACTTCATCTCCTCTCACTCCATGAGGGAACTTCAGCGGCCCCTCCATAGTACATGAAAACTGAGATTGTCTTTGTGCCATGTTTACTTAGGAGTGGCATCTCTGAGGTTTGGTGCAGGTCAGGTCACCAGGCCATCTCATCCCAGAGTCCAAGCCATGAATTGCAGAAAATTAAACAAACAAGCAAAATGCCCCTGCCCTTGACATTCCTCTCTACAACTCCCAAGACTTCCTCTAAAATGGAGATGGAGAGCCATCTATTTCACTGTCTACCTCACATGACTCTCTCCTCTTCCCACTCTCCATTCAGGTGACAAGGGGAACTTCCCCTTTATTTCCCCTTCCTGAATACCTGAGGTCTCCTCTATGTCATATCCTTCCCCTTGCCAACTCCAGCCTCAAGGTTGAGACTTAATGGCTGACAGAGAGCATATGAGAAAAACCCACTTACCTATAAAGGAACTAATTCAAGAGACATTTCAAAAATACTAGACCTCTTCTGTAAGTCAACAGAAAATATATCATCTGATTTGAAATAAAAATTGTAATGACTCTTTAAATACACTTAGAATTCATTGGTTGCCAAATTTATAAGTCAGCCTTTAAAAATGATGAGTTTTCTGCTATGTACTGTATGGTTCCATTTATTTGGTATTCAGGAAAAGGCAAAACTATAGGGACAGAAAATGGATCAGTGGGGTTAGGGGTGGGAGAGGGGATGATGATAAAGGGGGACAGAGGAACTTTTTGGGATGATGCATTTTGACTGTGGTGGTTGTTCCATGATTGTGTGTTTGTTGAAATTCATAGAAATGTATACCAAAAGGGGTGAATTTTATGGTATACAAATTAAATCTAAATAAACCTGACTTTTATTTTAAAAATGATGAGCTTAACATTCCCAAGATTATAGCTGACAGAGTAAGCACTTACTAAATAATGCACTGTTCTACCACTTTGCTTTAGCTCATTCAATCCTCACAATAACTCCATTTGGAAGATACTATTATTATCATCATCCATCTTATTGATAAGGGAAACTGAGACCTAGAAAATTTAAGTAAGTTGCCCACGACCACACAGTGAGTACAGGTAGGATTCGAATACAGATTGTCTGATGCCAAAGTCCACAGGTTTCACCACTATGTTATATGGCCTCTCAAGATAAGTAAGTTTAGCCTGGTAAATATTTAAGAGGTAAACTGGTAACTCTTATGTTTTCCCATAACTTACCTTTCTAGAGTCTTTTTTGGTTCAATCACCTTTACTCTCAGATCAGAAGCCAAGTGGACACCTCCTCCCCAACACACACACACACACGCACATCCCAGAAAAATATTCCTCCAGTTGCCTCAATCCAACATCCTCAGTTGGACTGAGAGACCCATTCTTATCAGTAGCCTTCAGTGAGCTAAGAATGGGTCAGATCTGGATGACTTTTAGGAGGATCCCCTGGAAAGTTCTAGACAGAGTTTGAGCTCAAGCTCCTGACTACGCCCCCAAACTATACCCTAAACTGGGAGTCTTGTCATTTCAATCCAGATACCACTGCAGCCTCATAACAAAAATGGCAGAATTCTCCCCTACTTATAGCAGTTCCCTTCTCAAGTTTGTGTTTGCTTGACCCATGCCTGAGAACCCCGGCGCAAGCTACCTCCACCAGCAAATGAATGAAGTGCTGCTTTCATTACCTGCTGATGCTCGCACACCCCAGAAGTCCGAAGGTCTTCCCAGCTGCTTTTCTCTAGGACAGGCTTCTTTCCGTAATAAATTATGGTGCTTGGTGTAGGACAGTGGTAAGATATGGCACACTATCAGGACGGATTCTTGCCAAGGCAAAGGGGTGCCAAGCCCCACATCCAGTTGTCCGGTTGTCCCAACTTAGTATGTATGCTGCAGAGCCCGCTTCCATTAGCAAGGAGGTCAGGGAGGCATTCATTATGACAGGGGCTTTAGGCGTGTCTGAATCTACTGCCGGGAAATGTCACTAGTTGTGTATCACTTTGCTCAGCCAGAGATCTTGAATCAGAAGTAGATAACAAGAACATGAGGAAAGGGCAATGATCCACCCCAGCAAACACTAACTTGTGTTTTCATCTTACCTGCTTTACCTAGGGAGCAGTTCGGTCCTCCATGCTGCTGGTGAGTCACTGGAGGAAGGCGCTTTGGAATGAAGGGAAGACCACCTAGGCCACCGCTGATGCACCTGTCTCCAAACTCTGATGGGCCCCTGGACCAAAGGGTAGGGCTGCTTACACTGGGTTACTGGAAGATGTATCATCTCAAACATGCACTTGCCCCTAATTCTCAATATTAAGGGGTCCTGTTGGCACATTTGGCCCATTCATGGTGAAGACACTGAAGGTTAGGACAAGGTTGGGTAGGTTTTAATGGGATGGTGAGAGAAGGACAGGTATGGGAGTTGGGGCAAGACTGCAGATAGAGAGTCTTCCCTGAGCTGCTAGAGAGCATCTGTGAGGTACCCTTGAAATCAGGGATGTCTTCACACTGAAAACAGAGGATCAAAATAGTCAAGGAAATCCTTAGGAGACAAATTTTGTCTGCTCGCAGTTGGGCCTGGAATAGAACTTAGCTGGGCTACTCTCCCCTGTTAGCATTTGTTCATATCCCCATGTCAAGGAGTTTTTCCCTTTTTCTAGAGGAAGTCATGAAAACACTGGGCACCTGATAGGAAGGGTCATTGTCAAGAGAATGAAGGACCTAGAAAAAAAAGTGTTGCTTATACTTGCTTTTGCAGTGCAAGCATGAAGGCTAAAGATTATTCAAAACTGAGTGTATTTGGCAAAATGGCAGCGGAGAGATCAGCACGATAGTAACAGAAAGCCAGTCTTCATTCCCAAACAGTGGGTGGAGGCACCTAGGAGGACACCCTCCTGTAATTTTATTTCCTCAGACATTATAAATCATGTGCTTGAGACCTATAAAGCCATCTTCTATGTTTAAATATAAAAGAATATTGCTACATTTAGAATTGCCCTTTTCTTGTTTCTTAGTAATCTGTTTTGTTGTTCCACTCCCCCTAAATCTTGTTGCTTCAGTGTTCTTTTATTCTATTTAGCAAATAGGTATTGAGTGAGTGCATATGCAAACCTCTTTGTAAAGTGTATTGCTTCCAATGGGAAAAGATGGCTAATTTCCTAAAATTGCTCTGTGCTCTATGGCAGACCATTATGAAAGAAATATTAGTGTATTCAAAACAACGAGTACACACTGTATACAAAGCATCATGCTGATTAGAGAGACCTAAATTTATCCAAAGTTTGCTGCACTGGCACTTCTGAAGACTGGGAATCCCTGATTTCAGGGGAGTAGGCACCTGAGTTGTGAAGGTTCCATTTCCATGCTTCCTCCTACCCTCTCCAACCTTCTACCCCCAACTTGCTTTTTCTCATTTATAAAATGCACAAGGTCACAGTTCCCTGATTCACGTAGTCTGCTCATTGATCTGCAAACATGGAGTAAGATGCATCATGCCAGCCCGTCATTTATGCATCTGGCCTTGCTCACAGACATAGAAACTAAAATAAATCTGACCTCAGGCCAGCAAGCGGTCAGCACGACCTCAGGAGGCAGAGACTGGGTGCTCCCCACAGGCTTCCTCTATCCTTCCTTCAATGCCAAGTAGCGGCTCAATGCCGACCTGCTCTGCTGGCTCGGTCTCCCTACCATCAGCAGACTCTTGTCCTCCCCCGACCCTCAAAGGCTCAGTTACCTGAGGAGTGTACCTGTATGTTCAATATCCGGTAGTAAAGTTTCCATTCTGATTCCTAGCACCAGGGAAAAGGCCAGTGAATATCAACAGTACAGGAGGTTTCAAGTTCAGTCTTTAAAAAAAAAAGGGCAGCAAAGGTATAGGTCTGTTTGTAGAAAATTTTAGAAATACAGAAAAGCACAAAGATCAAGTAAAATTTGCCTTTAACCATGTTTTCTAGTAATTTGTATGCATATATATCAGTCACAGTCACCTTTAAAAATGTATTTTAGAGCAAAAACTGGTAGTTGTAATACTGTTGTTCCTGATTGTTCTGTAAGATTGTACAGGACTGTCCATGGAGTCGTCTTTCTCCTTTGCCCTACCCTCTGACCTGATCGAGACCATTCTTGCTGCGAGATGGGTCTGGTTAAAATTCAAAATACAGTATGGCAGAGCCTTCCCAAGTATTTGGGATTATGTAAGACACTTTCACGGAATGCAATTTCCCCTGTCTTGTTTTATTTTGTGTTTTTGTTCTGGGGAGGTATGTGTGGAGGAGAATGCTAAGAAAAGTACAGGAGTATTTCTTAGTTCAGAGTGGTCCTAAGGCAAGCAGCAGGGACACGTCGGAAACAGACTCTCGGGCCCCACCTCAGTCCTGCTGATCCAGAATCCGCATTTTCGTGAGCCCCCCAGGTATCTGCAAACAGGCAAGCGGCCCCTTTCTGGCCTTTCTGAGGCGGCACTGATCGTCAGGCTTTGTACATAACTTTCACACCTCCTTGATGTTGAAACTAGCAATAAAAATCCCACCTCCGTGGGAGTAAACACCTTTTGCTCAAGCCACAGACTGCGTTCTCTTGGGAAAACTCTGAATGTGTTTCCTTCCAAATGCCCTGAGAGTTGTGGGACGTTCCAAAGGGAAGTCCAGGGAAGAGGCCCACTCTTTGTTTTGCCTCTCCTTCAAAGCCTGTTCCAGGGTCAGTGCTGTTGTGTTTGTGGCCCCTTAAGTCATAGTAAATCATTCACCCCATGGGGGACGAGAGAGAGATTCACAACAGAGCTCTTTAAATTCTGTTGGAAAAACCCACAATACCCTCCCTCCCCCTTGTCCACCACCAGATCTGCCTTATTTCCTACCTCCAAAGCGATTCAATTAACCTTCGATCATCCACCACGGGGCCCCAGGAGGCACAGGCAGGGTGCACGGATTGTGAGGCCCCTTCTTGGGGAGCTGGGATCAAGGACTTGGAGGGCAATTCTGCTGACAGAGAGAGAATAAGACGTGACGAAGCCAAAACAGTCATGTCTGGGCTGCCACCACAACTGTGAGCATCAGGATGTGTGTCGGATCAGACCAGCCTGGGCCAAGACTCCAGGGGGCTGCTTCTATTAGGCCTTCACGTGAAACCTCAAACTGGGAAGGGGTCCCAGGCGGCCACCTGAAGCCGTCTGGGGACAGCAGCACACTCGGCCTGCTAGGACCAGCTGTGCCCAGGAGAACTGTCTTTCTTTCTCTTCACGAACTTGGTCAGTCCCACAGAGCCTTTGTCCCTGGGCACCTGGCTGCCTCTGGGTGCCGGCACTGGGTCCTCCTCCATCTCTTTGCTGGCACCAGTCAATCCTGCTGGGCCCAGCCCTGGCCTTGTCTGTCACACATTCATGTGGTGCCTCTCCTCTCCTACACTGGGCTTCTTAAGCCCTCAGGGACTGATTTGAATCCATCCCTGGGAGCCGGTGGGACACCTAAGGGGTCCAGTGCCTGAGGCCATAGGGGAGGATGAAGCATGGATAAGAATGGCTTTCTCCTGACCCCTGAGAGACTTAACAAATACCACCCCCTTGGTCCTGGCAACTTATAGGTATTCATCAAGCCAGTACAGTGGTCTTTTTCTTTACAGAGGTTATGGAGATAAATGGTTGAAAACTCAGGCCCGGGGAGACCTGCATTCAAATCCTGCCTCCTTATCACTAGCTGAGTGTCCAGCTTTTTTTTTGGGGATTTTTACGGCTTCAATTTGCACACTCCTAAAATGGGGATTGCAGTACCCGTCTCCAAGGTTATTGTGAGGCTTAAATGAGGTGCTGCATGAAAGCACTTAGACACTGCCTGGTGCTTAACGAGTGCCTAGTAAAAGGCAGCTGTCATTGCTCGTATTAGCGTTACCTAAAACTGGACAGCAGGTCATGCCAGACAACCTAAGGAGTCAGTGCTGCACCCCAGAGGCCTGGTTTCAGTTCTGGACCTGTCTTAACTTAGCCTTGTGTCCTTCTGTTTCTCCATCTGTAAAATGGAGATGACACTCTGCGCGCTTTCATGCTTGCATCAGTTCTGTGTCGCCAGCACTGTTTAAGTGCTTCCTTCATTTGGTCCCCACCACATCCCTGCTTGACAGAGGGGGAAACGGATGGAGGATCAAGCAGCTAGTAACAGATGGTGCTGAGATTCCAGGCCCCAGGGCCTGCATTTCCACCTTTCTTACTGTGGAGAATCAAATGCTATAATGATTCTGCAAGTGTTTGGGGAATGGGAAGCACTGTGCAAGCATAGTGGTTATTACTATTCACCCACGTGTCTTGGCGTTTGGTCTTTAGCTGGGATCCTTAATGTTTCCTGGGGGGCTATAGAGTTGGGAGGCTGCTTTCAGTTTTCCTGAAGTCTTTTAATCACTGGCTGCTGTGAGATGAATTGTGACCCTACAGAATACAGAAGTCCTAGCCTCTCGTATCTCAGAATGTGACCTTATTCGGAAATAGGGTCTTCTCAGAGGTCATCCAGTTATCATGAGGACATTAGCGTGGGCTGTTACCCAATGTGACTGGTGTCCCTATGAAAAGGGAGAGTGTGGACATAGACTCCCACAGAGGGAGGACCCTGTGGAGTCATGGGAGAGCACCAGGTGAGGACAGAGGGCTGCTCTGGACATCTCCGAGCCGAGGAACACCTGTGGCTACCAGAAGCCAGGAGGGAGGCATGGTAAAGACCCTCCAGGGCCTTCAGAGGGAGAACGGCCCTGCCAACACCTTGATTTTGGACCTCAAGCCTCCAAAATTATGAGATGAAAAATTTCTGTTGTTCTGAGCCATCCAGTTGGTGGTACTATGTATGGCAGCCTGGGAAGTGAATTCACTAAGATCTAGGAAGGTGGAGATGAAGGTAATGAAGGAGACAAGTAAAGAAGGGGAAGATGAGTAAGAGGGTGCTGAGGCGGCAGAATAGAGTCCTCAGCAAGTACACATCTGCACACATGCGCGTGTGCATTTCAACAGTGTGAAAACCGATCTGAGAGCTTGTCAAGCCGGGAGATCTTCCCTCCGTGAGAAAAATCACATGAAAGGCAAAATGAACATTTAGATCACAGTCCATCTCCACTGAAACAGGTGGGAAAGAGGAATCTTCTCTCTGAAATCATTTAATCAAATCCAACTCCTTTGTCCTAGAGCAGAGCAAGTGAGAAGCATGGGGGCTGAGTTTCCAAGACCCTCCCAGAAGTGAAGACAAGAGTGGGATTAGAAATCGGGCCTTTTGGCTCCTGGCCCCATGGTAGTGACATTCTGTCACATCAACCCTCCTTGGAGGCTTATTTTTTTTGCTTGACACACAGGAATTTATTCTTCCTGTCACCACTTAGTTCACACGATTACATTGTGGTTCTTTTTTTTTTTTAAGGAAACTTTTGATTGAAATATGCACTCAGGAACATGCACAGATTGTAAGTGGACAGCTCAGTGTGTCTACATCTGCATAGGCAGCTCCCAGGCAAAGAATTCAGACGTCACCTGCTCCCCTGAAGTCTTGCCCCTCATCGCTAACAACGCCAACAAAGGAACCACTATCCTGACTTCTTAACATCACAGATTGGTTTTGCCTGTTTTTGAGTCAATATAACTGGGATTTCACAGTACTCTTTTGTGTCTGCCTTCTTTCAGTCCACATTATGTTTGTGAGATTTGTCTGTGTTTCACATATGGAGTAGTTCGTTCTCACTGTGATAGAGTATTCTGTGGTTCTGGTCTTTTAAACCAAATCAAGAGGTACACAGACAGAAACGTGTCCTAAGTAATTCAGTCTGGCCCTTAAAAAAATAGTCAAAGTAACCAAATTGCTGAAACCACAACAATTTGGTTACTCTTTACAAACTGGATCCAATTTATAGGCCATCTATTAAAAGCCACTGTCCCAGATCACTCCCCAAGCCCCCTCTCCTGGATTCCCACAGCCCTCATGTGGTGCCTCTCCTCTCCTACACTGGGCTTCTTAAGCCCTCAGGGACTGATTTGAATCCATCCCTGGGAGCCGGTGGGACACCTAAGGGGTCCAGTGCCTGAGGCCATAGGGGAGGATGAAGCATGGATAAGAATGGCTTTCTCCTGACCCCTGGGAGACTTAACAAATACCACCCCCTTGGTCCTGGCAACTTATAGGTATTCATCAAGCCAGTACAGTGGTCTTTTTCTTTACAGAGGTTATGGAGATAAATGGTTGAAAACTCAGGCCCGGGGAGACCTGCATTCAAATCCTGCCTCCTTATCACTAGCTGAGTGTCCAGCTTTTTTTTTGGGGATTTTTACGGCTTCAATTTGCACACTCCTAAAATGGGGATTGCAGTACCCGTCTCCAAGGTTATTGTGAGGCTTAAATGAGGTGCTGCATGAAAGCACTTAGACACTGCCTGGTGCTTAACGAGTGCCTAGTAAAAGGCAGCTGTCATTGCTCGTATTAGCGTTACCTAAAACTGGACAGCAGGTCATGCCAGACAACCTAAGGAGTCAGTGCTGCACCCCAGAGGCCTGGTTTCAGTTCTGGACCTGTCTTAACTTAGCCTTGTGTCCTTCTGTTTCTCCATCTGTAAAATGGAGATGACACTCTGCGCGCTTTCATGCTTGCATCAGTTCTGTGTCGCCAGCACTGTTTAAGTGCTTCCTTCATTTGGTCCCCACCACATCCCTGCTTGACAGAGGGGGAAACGGATGGAGGATCAAGCAGCTAGTAACAGATGGTGCTGAGATTCCAGGCCCCAGGGCCTGCATTTCCACCTTTCTTACTGTGGAGAATCAAATGCTATAATGATTCTGCAAGTGTTTGGGGAATGGGAAGCACTGTGCAAGCATAGTGGTTATTACTATTCACCCAGGTGTCTTGGCGTTTGGTCTTTAGCTGGGATCCTTAATGTTTCCTGGGGGGCTATAGAGTTGGGAGGCTGCTTTCAGTTTTCCTGAAGTCTTTTAATCACTGGCTGCTGTGAGATGAATTGTGACCCTACAGAATACAGAAGTCCTAGCCTCTCGTATCTCAGAATGTGACCTTATTCGGAAATAGGGTCTTCTCAGAGGTCATCCAGTTATCATGAGGACATTAGCGTGGGCTGTTACCCAATGTGACTGGTGTCCCTATGAAAAGGGAGAGTGTGGACATAGACTCCTACAGAGGGAGGACCCTGTGGAGTCATGGGAGAGCACCAGGTGAGGACAGAGGGCTGCTCTGGACATCTCCGAGCCGAGGAACACCTGTGGCTACCAGAAGCCAGGAGGGAGGCATGGTAAAGACCCTCCAGGGCCTTCAGAGGGAGAACGGCCCTGCCAACACCTTGATTTTGGACCTCAAGCCTCCAAAATTATGAGATGAAAAATTTCTGTTGTTCTGAGCCATCCAGTTGGTGGTACTATGTATGGCAGCCTGGGAAGTGAATTCACTAAGATCTAGGAAGGTGGAGATGAAGGTAATGAAGGAGACAAGTAAAGAAGGGGAAGATGAGTAAGAGGGTGCTGAGGCGGCAGAATAGAGTCCTCAGCAAGTACACATCTGCACACATGCGCGTGTGCATTTCAACAGTGTGAAAACCGATCTGAGAGCTCGTCAAGCCGGGAGATCTTCCCTCCGTGAGAAAAATCACATGAAAGGCAAAATGAACATTTAGATCACAGTCCATCTCCACTGAAACAGGTGGGAAAGAGGAATCTTCTCTCTGAAATCATTTAATCAAATCCAACTCCTTTGTCCTAGAGCAGAGCAAGTGAGAAGCATGGGGGCTGAGTTTCCAAGACCCTCCCAGAAGTGAAGACAAGAGTGGGATTAGAAATCGGGCCTTTTGGCTCCTGGCCCCATGGTAGTGACATTCTGTCACATCAACCCTCCTTGGAGGCTTATTTTTTTTGCTTGACACACAGGAATTTATTCTTCCTGTCACCACTTAGTTCACACGATTACATTGTGGTTCTTTTTTTTTTTTAAGGAAACTTTTGATTGAAATATGCACTCAGGAACATGCACAGATTGTAAGTGGACAGCTCAGTGTGTCTACATCTGCATAGGCAGCTCCCAGGCAAAGAATTCAGACGTCACCTGCTCCCCTGAAGTCTTGCCCCTCGTCGCTAACAACGCCAACAAAGGAACCACTATCCTGACTTCTTAACATCACAGATTGGTTTTGCCTGTTTTTGAGTCAATATAACTGGGATTTCACAGTACTCTTTTGTGTCTGCCTTCTTTCAGTCCACATTATGTTTGTGAGATTTGTCTGTGTTTCACATATGGAGTAGTTCGTTCTCACTGTGATAGAGTATTCTGTGGTTCTGGTCTTTTAAACCAAATCAAGAGGTACACAGACAGAAACGTGTCCTAAGTAATTCAGTCTGGCCCTTAAAAAAATAGTCAAAGTAACCAAATTGCTGAAACCACAACAATTTGGTTACTCTTTACAAACTGGATCCAATTTATAGGCCATCTATTAAAAGCCACTGTCCCAGATCACTCCCCAAGCCCCCTCTCCTGGATTCCCACAGCCCCAGCTGTGTCACATGGGGCTGACCCCATCTGGACCGAGGGGCTGGGGCTGGGGGTTAACTAGCTGGGTTCCACCTGGGTGAGCCCATCTTGACTTCAGAATAGCTCAGAGCCTGCACTGTCCCTCACTTGGCCAAGAGGCTTCCTGTGCCTTCCCCAGACTCACAGCCACCTTCACCCAGGGTCAGGGAAGCTGCCTCCCACATCTGACGTTTTGGAGTTATTCCCCTGGTCTGATCAGCCTCAGCACAAAGGCCTGCAGCTCCAGGTCGGCCAGAGGCAGAATGGAGTCAGCAGAAGGAGGCTGGTTCTCTGCCCAGTCCCTCCCCTTGCACCCACTGCCGAGGGTCACTCCCACCACTTTCTCAGCCTCCAGCCCTCATTCCCAAGAACAGTCCAGCTGCAAAGGGGCTGTCCCCTGTTCTCTCATCTTTTCCTTGCCAGACCACAGTTGGCCCTGGTTTCTTCATGCTGACCAACCTTCCTGGGGTCTCCCTTTTGCTGGTTACAATGAACTAATCCCCAAATGCAATTTCAAGGGAGTCCCAGTGCAAATCAGCGGGGCTGCGGTCCTGAGTCCCAGTCCATATATGGTACAATCCCTGAACCACCACCGGGATAGTGCTGAGTGTACACAGCTGATTCACCAGCTGTCCCTCTGCCTCCCTGAGCGTGCCTGCCCACTCCAGTTTCCAGTGACATCAGCACTGCACCCAGAGCAAAAGGCTAGGGCAACCCAAGGGCCTGACTCCCTGTGCCTTTGGGAGGTGGCAGGGAGGCTTTTACTTCTTTGTCAGCGCCCCCTCCCACCCTCCCAATGCCTGGGATGCTGTGCTTTCCGGAATGTAAAAGAACAATAATATAACTGGAGTACCTCTCTTGTTGTGGGTGTGGTCTGGGGGAGGCAAGGCCAGAAAACAGTGATAGCTCAAAGGCTTGCTCCAGCCCAGTTGTCGAGGACCGTTTTGACCTGGAAGCAGTCATAGGGCCCCACCCTGACATTGGGCAGAGTCCAGCGTTCCCAGCCCTCCGTCAGAGCCTTGGCGGTTTGCTCTCCACCCTCACCCAGACTTTGTTTGGCTTTCGGTTAAGTATGAGCAATGGAACGAAGAAATTCTCAGACACAGGAAAGAATACTGAAGTCTGGGCCAGCTCTATTCAAAGCTCATTAGTGGGCGGTCAGGTTCTTTTTATTAGCATCCTCACCACCCTTCCAGTGCCTGTTAAAAGCAAAGCCTTGTACTAGACTCCAGCAGGGGTATGCTCAAACCAGCTGAGAACCTAGTTGTAAAATGTTTAGGAATTTTGCAAGCTTACAGTTCAACACAAAAATTATTAAAGATTATGTTACAGAAAATTAAGATAGGATAAATTAGATTTAAAACAAAGGTAACAAATAATCAAAACTCATTTATTTCCTACTTATTTTACTGCATTTTACTATTATCTGTGCCTTGACGTTATTCCCAACTATTGTATCCGTATAGTGGAAATGTGAACACCGTGCTTCTGCACATCTCTTCATCTCCTTATTCAGTAATGCTGTGTTGGGAGGTTGACATCAGCCCTGATGGGAGTATGTACCCCATAGAAAACACTATAAATCAGGGCTTCCCCTCCCTTTTCCCAGAACCAGTTGCGAACCTTGACCAGAACACCACTGATTGTGGGGTCGATAAAGAATGACTCACTTTCTGCCCTCAAGGTGCCTGTAATAAAGGACACTTATCTGGAATATCTGGGTGCCCCATCTAAGTGCATAAGCCCACCTGAGGGACAGAGATGGCAGCATGAGGAGGATATGTCACTGGTTCTAAGATGGAGGGGGCTACATGCAAGAACGGGGGAGAGGCCCCTAGACACTCATAGGGCCTCCAGCTGACAGCCAGGAACCTCAGTCTTACAGCTGCAACAAACTAAATTCTGCCAATACTTTGAAGAACAAGAAAACCAATTCCTCCCCAGAGCCTCCAGAAAGGAACTCAGCCCTGCAGACACCTTGATTTTAGCCCAGTGAGACCTCT